TCAGTTGTGCTTCGCACAGCATAAGTTTGTAAACTAGAATTTAACCATAGAAGTCTTCATCGATCAGCTGTGCTTCGCACAGCATAAGTTTGTAAACTAGAATTTAACCGTAGAAAGTCTTCATCGATCAGCTGTGCTTCGCACAGCATAAGTTTGTAAACTAGAATTTAACCATAGAAAGTCTTCATCGATCAGCTGTGCTATCGCACAGCATAAGTTTGTAAACTAGAACAAAACCATTGAAAGTCTCCATCGATCAGCTGTGCTTCGCACAGCATTAGTTTGTAAACTAGAATCAAACCATTGAAAGTCGTGTAACGTATTTTTGTCATTCAAACTCATAACGGCTTTTTGAAATATAAAATTATTGAAAGTTGTTCATATGTTATGTAAAAATAAGCTAAGCCTTAAAGAGTAAAAAATTTAATTTAATTGTACTATAATTAAGCATTTTTAAGTTTCCGAAATGCTTGAATATTGTATTGTCACCGGAAAGAAAAGTGCATGCAAAATTTCAGCTCGATTGGAGCAGTAGAAGTGGTCGAAAAATTGATCGCAAGATTTGACCTCGACAAACAGATAAACAGATAAACAGACAAACAGATAAGAAAGCAAGTTAAGAAAATCGTGGTAAAAATACAGGACCAAGAACAAAATTTAAAAATTTTTACAGGACAGTCTTGAAAAATACAGGACTGTCCGTTGAAAAACTACGCAGATGGTCACCCTACTTTTTAACGACCTTAAAATCAAATTTTCTCCATAACGACTCTCCATAATCAAGTTTCACATCCATAAACAAAAAATGTAATTTTATAAGCTACCAAAATCGATCAAAAAATACTTAAATATTCGTCCATAAAGTTTCAAATTTAATAGATTTATTTCCTTATTTTTACTACAAACTCCCGTGGTGCAGAAAGTTGTGCGAAATAGATAACTGACTGAAATTGATTAATAAATAAGATATTGATTAAATTTGTGATTTATATAAATTAGGAGTTAATGATGAAAACAGGAAACTCAACGGGATTTAATTGGGTTTTATGTAACAATTTTAGGTTAGAAATAATAAATTTTGTGGAATTTTATTGAAACTATCAACAAGTCATAGAATCTGCAGTCGTAAAAATCTTTTCACATTAGCTAAAATTAAAGATGAGATTTTAATGAATTTATAAAAAAACTAAGAATTGGTAGTAAATCCAAATATGAGATCAAGTTACGGACTATTTTTGGGTTGTTGATATGATTTTATAGTTTTTGGATAGTAAATTTATTTTAATTGGATTTGATCAGTTGGTAAAGTTTGCACGAAAACTTTAAAATAAAATAGATTTAAAAAACCGTCAAAATATTTTTAAAGAATTAACGGTTAAAATGTTTTTGAATACAACAAGTTTTCGCTGAATCCAAATTCATGCTTCAAAAATCTCCTTTCAATCACAACAACATCCATCCCATCCCAATTAAATAACAAAAATCACTTATCCCTCAAAATAACAATTAAATTGTCTCAAGCAACGACCGTCCATAAAATCATTCAAAGGGGTTCAAGTTCAAATTATCTCTCGCTTGTGTAGTTTTTTTGCATGTGCGTGTCTAAAATCCATGAAAATTGTTAATAATGGATTTTAATTAAGCAGTTACATAAACAATCAATAAAACACATCTGAAGACACAAACACAGAGCACACATTGATGTCATCTTAAAGATTTTAGACATAAATCACCGACTATTGATCCATCAATTTGAGTTTTGTCATCGGCTTGTTAATTATTCGGTAATACCCTTTAATAAATTTGCAGTAAATCGATGCCTCCAATTTACTTTTATGAATACAAATCAGTATGGCTTAAAAAATTTAAGCAGCGACGCTAATAAATCAAAAATATTTTATGATTTTTTATCACCGGATGACTGAATGAATGAGTTTGAAGACGTAAGTGGAGGCAAACAACATTACTAATAGATATGGAGACAAAATGTTTAGCTTTATGTCTAGTCATCTTACTTCATTGACTTCTTATGTGCTAAAAAAATTTGCAAATTATTGTACACAATAAAACGTCTTCAAAATCTTCACTTCCGATCTGTTGTTCTCAACAATTCTCAGTCATTTTAAGATGTTAAATTGGTTAAGTAAGAAGCTTAAATTAATAAAAATTTATGGCATACATAAAGGAATGAATTGTTGGCTTAATTCAATTAAATTTTGGTTGCTGTCTATGAATTAGGAATGTTGTGAGTCATTTGAGAAATGTTTTGAGCGATTTGATGCGCCAATTGAGAATTTTTGTTTGATTTAAATTGACTTTGAACTTTTTCCTTAGTCTAGAGCTTCAATTTGATGTTGATCATGTTGATTGAACTGTCAAAGACTCAAACTTTAATTGACAAGAGTTTGAAAATTTTAAGATTCGTACTTACGATTTTCATGATTTTATTCAATAAATTCTGAGCCAAGTGTCTTGTAATTTACACTTTTGTGGCATTTAACTGCTGATAAACCGTTTTGCCACCCTTCAGTATTCTTCTTAATTTGACTTAAACTCTAACTTACCTTAATAATCTATTAAAACTTAATCCAGCTATGAAACTCAACCACATTTAAGTAATAAATTGAAATTTATGAATTTTTTTAAAAAAAAATCCTAAAACAATTTTATTCTAAGCCATTTACAGCATCTCTCAATCCACCAAACAACAAGATCCAAAGTCTAAAAAATTACCATCCAAAAAGCATAAATCTCTAACGTCAAAAATTTGGCCATATAATGTCGATCACCTTGCAAACTTCGTAATTTTATAACTTGAACATTTTTTTGAATATATTTTTATGAAAGGTGTGACATCCTCAAAGCTGACTGTTAATGATCTGAAAAGATTCTGAAATTCTTCAAAGCGTGCCTAATTTTCAAATAATAAACATTTTTTATACGATTATTGTGATCATTAACATCATATGTTTTAGATTAAGGAACACAAATTTATATAATAAAAGGTAAATTATGAAATATTGTGGGCGCCAGTTGATATACTTAACATCTGTTGGTGTGTAAAATCTACAATAATGATAATCGTTTACAATGTTATTTTTCTGGTCGGTTTAAAAGTTTATTTAAGGTTTTTTTAAAATTTTAAAATAAATTTAAAAATAGAATAAATTTAAAAAAAACCAAAGTTTTTACATATTTTTTCTACAAAAATTCAAATTAATATTTTAAAAAATTTCAAATAAATATTTTTAATGTTTTTTTTTAAATTTCAACAAATCATTAATTCAGCATTCAAAAAGAACCAAAAAAATCCAATTCCAAAATCGTTTCCCATTCAAAATCACCTAAATAAATCGCTCCAATCACCGACTTTGCATGTTTATCGATAATTTTGTATCATATTCGTATCACCATAAATGGATCCGATACTCATTAAGCTGATTGAAAATGTGATACAGAAAAAATAAGTCAATAAAGCCATTATCACCTATTGAATACGTGAATTGTATTGTAAAGAGCAAATATCCAAAAATTATCATCTCAAATTCGCTTAATGAATGCGAAAAGGCATATAAATTTCCTATTAATCAAGACATCCATCTACATGTTGCCAAAAATATTTTTTTTTTTTGACTAAAACAAATATTCGCTCAAAACTAGGTGCCGATTAAACTTTTTATATTTGTCCAGCTATCGCCATAAATAAATTATAATGAAGCGCTAATAGATTTTTACTTTTTAAACAAGCTAGTGACAAAATCTCATTTGGTAAGGTCATTTGTGTGCTTTATGGTTGAACATATTGGGTGATTTTTTTTATATTTATCAAACTTTCCATTTTTGACAGTAGTTTTTGGGATGATAATCACTTCTTTGGTGTCTCGCAGAATTTCTTGTGGTGAATTTAAATTTAAAAGGATTTTTGTGAATTTATTTTAAAATGTTTCTGGTTCAAGGGTTAGTTTTTAGAGCTTCTATATTAGCACCCTATTCTTAAATTGAATACCAATAATCTTCACACTCAGGATGTTACCAAAGGCAGACCTAGACACTGACCTTCAAATGTGATTATTACTAAAGATCAAAAACATACCTTATGCTAGATATTCTAGTAAATTTTAAAAACCAGCCTTGCTTTCTCCTCTTCGAAAATTTTAAAGCACTATATTCACACTTCAATTTTAATTAAATTTGAGAAAAATTTGCAGCTCCTTAAAATTATGTTGCCTGAAAAACAAAACATTCAAAGAGTTCCTAACTTTTATAGTGTTCTACTCAAAGGTTGGGTGCTTTATAAGGAATGATTTGTGATGGTTGAGTTAATTTGGATAAAAATGTAGATGGAATTTATTATGTTGTATACATTTTAGGGGCTGAACTAGGATTTGAAGCTTGTAGATACTCACAAGAGGCATGAAAATTCAAATTCATAGTGATAAAGCAACATCGAATAGAAAACTATTGAAGAAAAGTTCTAGGAGCAATTAGAAAACTGCGATTAAAATTACTGCTTTTAACATCTAAGCCTATTATTGGCTTCTATGGCATTCTTATAAAAAATTGATATTGATGATGATTAAGATTAAGTTGTCTTTGGTTTGTTTAAATGTTTAAGACCATAAAAACCTTACAAAAATCGAAATCACAATTTAAATGTTCCTAGTTAAAAAATAAATTAACTTTAGGGCTTCATATAACATTTCAGAAGTTTTGGAATCTTTTAAAATTAAACAACATTTTCAGAAACTTTATTTATTTCAAACAAACTGTAGAAAATATTTTAAAATAAGTTTGAAAATACAAACATTATCGAAACTAAGTGAAACATTGAAAAACATACATCAAAACCTTTCATTTATTTTATTCGAGACAAAATCCTGCAAAACCTTTCAATTGTTCTTCCAACCCAAGACACATGAACTGACCGAAAATCCAAAAGTCATTATGACTCTTCATAATTTGAAAACCACTGAGCAATGTTTCAATGTTTTAAGTAATTTTATTGTTTTCTTTTGTCTACTTAAAAATGTGTTTTATTGTTTATATGAATTATGCATGATTCACAAATAAGCTAAATAATAAAATAATGTAATTTGATCTAAATTAAAAAGAATGACAAGTTAATCTTCATCTTCAAAAAGCATCGATACAAGATCAGCATTTGCAGCTTGTGCTCCATCCAATCGCTGTGCAGACTTCCAGCGCATCAATGTCGGAAGGAAAACCAAATGTGTTCGTGTATCTTTTCGGAATGGATTTTCCTGGTTCCTCCAGAATGGTTTTTCAATTTCGCATACTACAAAATGAGAATCTTCAGGTGCTGATTCTTCTACTACCTTTTCTACAACTGGCTTAGCACGATTACAATAAGGACACCACGATTCACCTTCCTCATTCTTGTCACCGGTGAATAAAACATTAATCGGAAGTTTCTCTTTTTCCAAATCAACGACTAGCTTTTCGAACTCGTCCCAATTTTTCACAAAATGTCTTTTAACCATTCTTAAACCTCCTCTAAGCATTAATCACTTAAACACTTCTAAACTGTTTGATTTCTGTTTTTGGAATGAGTTTTGGTTTTAAGATTTGAGAATGTTAATGTTTAAAAAAAACAAAACTTAGTTTAAAATTTAAAAAACCGTTAATTTTTTGTGAAGCAATGATGAGTTTAGTCATAGGAAGGTAAATGTGAAAGAGCACAGTATTCATGACATTGCAGTTTTGAAAAACTCTTATCTCGATATTTGACGACATCCAATGATTGAATTCCTAGTCAAAACGTAAGACATTTATAGATTAGGTCTGACCTTCATAAGTTTTATCAACCTTTCTTGAAACTTAGTAAATCCAAGCATTATTTTTAGCGCATTTTTGAAACTTGTTTCTAAAAGGTAGCTTAATAATACGATTTGTTTGGCTGTTCGGGGCAAGAAAAACTTTTTAACCAGACATCGTAGAGAGCTCGGGTTTGTTTTATTAGCTCAGTTCTATCGAGTTATTGGCCGGCCAAACAGTTAAAAGTCTTAAAACAGTGTATTTGTACTTTAATTAATGATTTTTTTATTTCATATGAAAAACACGTGATGGGTGCGTTTAGAAAATTGAATTATTTTCTACCGTTGTAAAAAATTGTAATCAGGGTGCGTTCAGAAATTCGAATTTTTCTAACCGGTAAAAGATTGGAATGCCAAAAAACCGTTAAATGATAAACCCTTTTCATTAAAATTAATGATCTTCTAATGATTTGTAAATTAACTCAAAATAATTAGATAATCAAATACTGATCGCTAATACAAAAATGCGCTTAAGTCCCTAGATCAATAACACGAGGACTTTTTTAATTTTTTAAAATTCATTAACAATTTATTAAATGTCTTTATTATTAGCTTTCACGAAAAAAATAACAAGAAAAATATCATCAAACAGACAAGAGACAAGTAACAAACAAAATAAAAGGAACATGAAAAAAAATATAAATAAATTTTTTGACTTTTTTATTGGAAGTTTATCTTCCAATTTGAATGTTTTCATCAGCCATTCCAAGCTCTTCTGTCGCTGCTTTATCTCCCTTCTTCTTCTTAGAGTACCAGAAGAAAGTTATGCATGAGATGAAATTGATTGCCGCAACAAGACATCCAAAAAAAAATCCGTAGCCAGTTCTGAAGAAAAAAATTTGAATTTTGACAGATTTAAAATATCAAATAAAGAATTTAATTTAACTTACGTATATGTAGCTTTATCAGGAAAAGCAAATTTTAAGTACTGCTCAGCATGTTTGACTGACGCAAGTAGAGTATGGCACACAATAGAACAGCAAACTCCCGAAATAAAATGAACACCACCTGACAGCCGTTTAAACATATAACGAGGATTTAAAAATGTATAAACAGTAAAGAAGACTCCTAAAATCATTATGAATAATGCTATAATTGAAAATGTTGCAGCTGTTCGGCTGAGATCAATCATGTCTTCGTCAACTGCTGGATCAGCTGCAATTTCTGCATCGTCAGCGAATAGGTTGTAGTATGTGCATTTTTCTGGAAATATTGAATTTTTTTATAGAATTTAAAAGTCTTTTAAAAAGTCTAATTCTGAAACTTACGATTTTTGTGATACATATAGCCATTGACTGGCTTTTTTAAATTTTTTGGTGGGATCGGTGGTTGAAAAACGAATTTGTCGTCACCAATTTGAATGACTGGGCTGATTTCAAGGCTGTGCGCTGGAAGTTAATATGAATCAATAAAGATATTAACTCCATAAACCTATTCTTACCATAGTGAAACAATACTCGCAGCATATTCATTCCATGCTCATTCCATCCTTCAAATAACGCGTCTTTAAGCATCTTTGGTATGACAACATGCATAGTATCTGTCTGGTTAAATTGTACAGGAAACACTAAGTCACCCAGCCTCTTTTTGACTATCTCATGTGCACCAGGATTCATATACATGACATCCACGATTTTCTCTTTCTTATGGAACTCATGGAACTTGTTTTTGAGCTGATTGAACTCGCTTCTGTCTTTATCAAACCATTCGGCAAATAAATGCTTCCTAAATTCCTCACTATTCTCTGTAATATTAGCAATGTCTGGCAAAGCATTGCTTTCTAAGCTCTTGAAGAACTCTTCCTTCATTATTGATGCTTTGATACCTTTAAGATCATCATGTGATGCTTGAAATGTTGTGAAATTCCGCACAACAGATGATGAGACTATTTGTGGCTGTATCCAGTACCTACAGTTTCTATTTATTTAAGAAATGAGGAATTTTTAAATATTTATAAACATTAAAGAACCGTAACCATAAACCATATGTGAATATTTTCATTAACACTGGTCGTGCATTAGCTACACGCACATGTTGATGTCATTTCTATGTCCGCTTACCTCCAAATGCCTGTTTAATGTATGAGAAAAATGAAAAATTTGCAAGTTAAAATTAGCAAAAAAAAATTATATTGCTGAAAATGAGATTTGAGTCTCCCCGCTGATTTGTCAAAGGCAATTTCATCTGGTGGATCTCAAAAAAAATCATTTTAGACAGGCAATTAAGATGACAAATAAAATTATTTTCGCATAATGTAAAATGGTCAAGAAGAGACTACAAAATTAATTAATGAAGCTTTATGGTCAGTTAAACATGTATTTGATGGAAAATTTATTAAGGAAGTTGCTGAAAGATTTTTTAAGACATGATTAACATGACGATAAAAAAATTAGAAAATACAATTTTAGTGTTTTCTATGAGATGTTTAACCCACACGTCTACAGACACTAGATTTTTGGTTTTTAAAGTTTAATTTATCTTTGAAGAAATCAAAGGAAATGTTTTATTGTTTAATATTCATATTAACAGCTTTAATAATGTTGAAATGAAACGATTGCTTTTAAAACGATAAAATCCCGATTGGCACATATTGAAATTCATTAAATGTTGCGAAATGACTTCCAAGCAGCTTGGCAAACATTTCAGTGAGTGTCGATCGGGCATATTTATCATTAAAAGATCAATTTTTATAAAGTTTGCATCCTAAAGGCAACAGTGTCTCGATTAAACATCTCTTCTAAAGAAAAGAACTCATCATCACCTTCAACAAGCTAATTCCTTTCTTCATTGCATTACAAGACAATCTAATAATATCATTTACACTTCGTAAGCTCTGACAGCATTTCAACTTAGTTCCCAGAATTAAAACTGACACCTTCCTTAATTAGTAATCTTGCTAGCTCATCTTATATTCAAGTTCAACTACAATGCTTATTCAACTACATTTATTCATGTTACGATAGGTTGAAGACAACAAATTAGTCATTTGACATTGAAAGAAAGTGAATTGAAAAAGATGGACGATAAATTGTAGGATTGAGTCACAAAGCCATTGACAAATTGAAGAAGAAATTGCAACTTTTTCATGCCAGCTGAAGATATATCTCATTTCTCTCAATTGATGGATTTTGTTCCTTAAAATTATCAAAATTTGTCACTTGAGTAGCCTCACCTGTATGCGATGATTTAAAATATCGTCGATGACTTTCAACGAAAATTCCTTCTGCAAACGAGGAAAAAAAAAGACATAAATAAATAATTTGTATATAGGAGTAAAAGTGGCAATGGCACTAAGGGATGTCAAAACATTTCAAAAAGAATCTCGTGAATTTTATTTTTTCCTTATTACTGCAACAATCTTCATTATAAAGCCGTCAGGAAAGCACAAACAACAACAAACATGCAGAATTCATTAAATAAGTGAGGAATGAATGAGGCGTAAACAGCTGTAAATGAGGAATGAAGATGAGAGTTAAAGTGTGATTATTTCAAGATTAATTTATGTTCTCAACTTTTATAAGATTATTGTTGGCTGGTTTTTGAACTGTGTCTTGAGTTTTTTGAATGGTTATTTTGCTCTCTAGTGTTAAATTTTGAGGAGGTCGACAGTAAGTTTGGGGATGCATAGCAAGAAACAAGGATTTAAATATTCTTAATTTTTTTAATTTTTCTGAAGTCAACTTTGAACTCAAAATCACGTCATTAATACTTTAGGAGCTCATTTTATTTAGCACATATTAAAATTTCCTCAAAATGTGATGCGGAAATGTGAGTGCGTGTTCGTAGATAAATAAAAAAAATATATATATTTTTCAAAATAAGTTAAAAGCATCTGCATGAGTAATTAAAATGTTTTAGCTTAATACACCCACATTTTTGAGATATTTTTCGCACATAAATTGAGCTGCTAATTTTCCGAAATGAAAAAACTTTTTGTTGGAATTCTCTTTGTATTCAATATACTAGAGCACCTATAATCCACAGACTAAACAAAAACATAGATTTTTCATCAAATCTAATACAGCTTAACTCTGAATTCCAATCTTCTTAAAAATGCATCATTTACTGATCGTTGGCACTCGAATGTCTATCTCATTTAGTGTAATAAAATTTGTTTAATTGTTTTTTCTTTTTTTGCTTCTTTTCACATTAAAATAAACAAGCCATAAACAATAAAATTACTTTTCCTTGCTTTTCATCTTTTGCTTAATGTCCGACAAGGGGCTGTTTATTTATTACAAACTTGAAAGGGGGGGGGGGGGAGGAATTTGGAATGAAAGGATGAAAGGACTAATGTTCTTGAAAGAAGTCAAAGTCGTGACTAGTCGACCTTTAGTAAACCTTAAAACCTTTAAAAACTTAGTCGAATAAAATCGACTAAACTCAGCTCAATTTCTACATCTGGATATTTTTTTAAAAACGATCATTATTGCGTAACTTAATGAACAAACGACTAAAAGGCGTTAAAAAACTTTATGTCATTTTTATTTCACTTATTGTCGGTAATTAGAGAAGCATTTTAATTATGACCACTGAGAAATTGATGAATTTTCACAAAGAAATTAAAATATTAAGAGCGTGAAATGTTTGATGTGGATTGATGGAATTAAACGTTGAGGATATGCAGTGAATTGTTTAAAGATGACTATAGCGGCTAAGTTAAGGATAATGAATGTTCATAGCTAATTTAAGGTCATAATCCTGTTATAAATGCTCAAGACTTCAATGAAGAGCTCGAAATTAAATTAGTAAAATTGACTTGGATTAAATTCATTCGATTTCAGTCGATCGTGTGTATAGTTTAAAAAAATACCTGCTCAACTAAAGTCAGGCGAGGCCGTGCTCTTGCTGCGGTTCAAAACGTTTAAAGGGGGACAAGACCCTCCTGGCTACGCGCCTGACTAGAGTCAACTTTGAACTCTGAATTTAACACAAGCTTTATGTTGGTTCTTAGAATCGATGTATTTTTAAAAATATTCTAAATAGCTATCATGAGAGCAAACATAGTAGCTGCATAAATATTCATACATATGCAGCATTCATTATGTATTTTTTACACTAATTAACTTTTTACATGTGCATAACATTTTAATTCGTCTACAGTTGAACATGAATATGCGTAAATTAATCAATGACATAGGCAGCATTAGCAGTGAATTAAAGGAGAAGAAGAAACAAGATGCATTACAATTTTATGGGAAAAATTTATGATTTTCTAAGGAAATTATTAATATAGCAACATGAAAGCTGTTAAGTCACTAGAAAATTGTGAATTTTGCATGACTTTGTTTCATGAAAAGATATTAAAAATAAAGACATGATTAGTATGTGGTCCATTTTGGTGTGTCACAGTAAATAATTGACTCATTTAAGGTGAATATTAAATGAATAAAGTTTTCAAATCAGAGGGCGACTAAGTTTGTGACTACATACAGTAATCTTTAGACAACTAATCTGTCTGATTTGATCTTTTGATTCACTTGAACCATAGATTTTAAATTAACTTCAAACTTTAATTTTAACATCCAACTCAATATCAATAAAATAGTAAAATTCAGCTTTAAAATTTCATAATTACTTACCATTCCCCCCGCTGCATAATAAAGTCATAAAATAAAGTAAGAAAATAAAGATTAATTAATTGTGTGAATAAGAAATTCAAAAAATGTAATTCTTTTATAAATTAAATTAATCTGTGAATGTGAGTTTGACGAAAAATATATTAATTCATTCAACTTTGTCTTGTGTGCTACATTGTTGACTTTTACTTTTTGAGTTTCTTATTATTTGAGGAAATTTTTCTTACAGCACAGATTGTTGTGGGTAGAAGTCAAAATAATTTTTTTAAAATTTAAATGCATACTTGCTGATGTGTAGAGTCGTTTATGATTTTGACTTGAAGAATTCATTAAGTGGATTATTTGCAGAAATTTGTGGCACTCGTTTATGAATCTTTGAAGATTTATTGAAATTTAGAAGCTGGGAAATGAAGCTACTAGCTATCAAGCTAGATGGAGGGAGATTTAGGGCTTATCAAATCCAACTCCAACCATACCCATCCCCCTTTTTGCTACGCATCTGACTTAAAAGTTCAAAAACAATCAGGAGTATTGAAGATCAAACCTATTCGGACCCTAAATTATTTAATTAAACTCTCCAGCACTCTCTTCAACTCCTTCACAAATTTACTCAATTAAAAAATTTTATAGCATTTAAATCACAATTTAAAATTCTTTTAATTAAAACATATGCATGAAAACAATTTTCACTAGACACAATGACGACCCTAATAAATTGCACATAATTTTCTTCTCACATTTTCAATTTATTTTACTATAATCTTTATAGCCAATCCAATTGACACTGTATTTTATAGTGGAAATGTTTTTAAATTCATATTTATCCCTTTCGACTGCAACTAGAGAATGTGTTGACAATTATCAGGTTATTAAAATTTTTACGCCTGTCTGTCTCCACTAGAGACTATTTATAGGACAATATTAAATCCCTTTTTTAACGATTATTCAAGATTAATTTTTAATCAAATTGTAGCTCTTTGGATTTAAACTAAGGTCATCTGTTGTATGGTTCTCTGCACGCATATTAATAATAGATTTAGAACCTTTTTAATTCCTCGCAAATTAAAGATTAAATGATCCCCAAAAAACAAAGATTTCAAATAATTTTCCACAATTAATGCCGGTGCGTGTTGACAAACACATATTAAGGACTCCCTGCCCGATATCAAAAAAAAAACTTTGATTTTGGCACACTTCGAAATCTATTTTCATTCTAAATCTCGATGAGAAAATTTATAGCTTTCTCATTTGATTGTTGTTGAGTCAAATTGACAAAAGAGAAGAGATGAGCGAGAGGAATGTCAACAACAACAATTACGAGTTTTAGATTGAAAATGAGTAAGGATTGGAGACTATAGACTGCGTGAATTAATGAAAATTTTGATTTTGTTCTTAGTTTTTTTATAGGAGCTCGTGAAGCTGGACTTAAGTGCTCTTAAAATCGTGCAATCGCGATACAGATTGAATGATGGAATTTTAACAGTTTTCATTTGAAAAAAAGAGTCTTCAACTTCATGTATGAAGCTAGAGTGTGATTTGGGGTATCAAATTTCATATATAAAGTCTTTACTGCCAGTATTGGTTCTAAGCTAATTTAAGAGTCAGAATTTTGTGGCCAAGAGTCTACTCAGCAGAGCTGAAGAGTTAAAACTTTTCGTTTCTGAGGACATGGGTTCAATTCTCTTTCTATAAAACTTATTATTTCATAACTTGAGATTCAGTGTTTACAAACTTAAAATTTCGTGCAGAAGCAGGAGTAAGAGCATGACTGATTCCTCAAACATCATGACCAGCATCCAAAGAGTCTCCATGTAATTCAAAACAGATCTTTAAAGAAATAATTTTCCTCATCTAAGTTTAAGGGAAGAAACGTGACAACTAAGAAATAGAGCAGATTTACAGAAAAAATTAAATTTTTCCTCACATTCTCACATCCACATCCTACAAACGTAGACAACGATTGAATGTCACTTACCTAACAATAAACCATCGATTTGTTGATATTGCAACAATCCATAATATTAATCCAACAATCAATCCAATCGTACATCCAAAGAGAATTTTACGCTGGAAATAAAAACTTTCGAGCTTAACTTTACGCTCAGGTTCGTCAATAGTCGATGTGTCTGACATTTTCACAGCTCGTTAATTTACTTCTTATTCACACATTCATATACGTTAATAGCTGAAATATTTTACTATGATCAGTTCTAATATTTTCACGTGTTTATTTTTATCACGAAAATATTTTTTCCAGGTTTACGAAATAAAAAAATTTCAATTTTCACTTCACAAAATACGAAAAATCTGCAGCAAAAGTTTTTCACCTCAAAGGCTGAAATTTTTCATTATTTTTAGCTTCATTTCGACATTTCTTTTCTTATTTTAATAATAAAACAGTTCCTCTCCTCCTCATTTGATGAGATAGAAAGAAAAATAATTTTTTTGTCGGCTTTAGTTCTGTGCTTTAACAAAAAAAATATATCTGATCACATTTCACACGAATAGGATGAAGAAAATTTTTTACAATTGCGAAATTTCAGTCACTGGGAATTTTTTTATTATTTCCTTTATTTTTGGTCCACAAAACAAAATTGTCACCAATTGACTTATGTCCAACAATTGAAAATCTATAAATTTTTTGTTATTTTGAAGGAAGTTCAATGAATCAATGAACTGACACACTTGAGAGGCAGCACGAGGAAAATTATTCAATGTCTCCGTCCGAGAAGCAACTGCTGAACTGCTCAGTTTTAAAAAAGAAAAACAAGATGAAAATTTCTTTTTTTTTCTTCATTCGACACTAACAGCTTCAATTTACTGCTCTTGTTTCTACTCTTGTTGGCTTTTTGTCGTTCATACTTTACTTGTGAGTTCGTGACACAATCAACTCTCAATGTATGTACATACAACAAGTCGATGCGCGGTAGATTTTTTTAAATTCATGCGGATGATGAACGCATTTGAAGAATTTGAGGAAGGATTGATTGCTTTTAGGGACTCATGAATTATTGAATTCCATCAAATTCTCAATTGACATTTTTGAAATTCAGGTATCAAGGACGTGTTGAATTGAATGAATATCAATAAGTATCCAGTAAAATCCTATACATCAAGTCACTTGTGAACAACCGTTATGCTGAGAGCTACAGCTATCAACCATAAAATCCTAGCCAATCTTAAGACAAATAAAAGGAATTCCTGTCTACAATCCTAGTCTACACCACCTTATGTAAAGGCTTAGTCTTGGGTATCAAACCTCTTTCTTGAAAGTGATTCCAAATTTTCATAAATGTTGCAATCGGACCTAGAGTCTAGTTGCATTCAACAGTGCTGTCTTCTCCCTTTAGTCTCTATTCAGTATGAAGTCCACAAGACCCCCATGTCCCTGAATTCAGTTTTTGAGGACCTGAGAATAAGAACTCAATTTTTCCAACACACTTTCCATTTCCAAATTTATCAGATGATTCAAAATGATTTCAGAAATTTCAACATGTGATTATTACTGATGGTCTTTAAAATCCTATATTTTATAGTCAAGATTCCTTCATTAAATGAAAATGTGGACAGCATTTTCAAAGCAATAAAGAGAAATGACTTCATAAAGCTAACCGCGTACGCAAAATAATGTCATATGTTGAATATTCATTTCTCTTTGGCATGATAAAATATGTAAATAAGATTTTCGACTACGTGAACTATGTGCTGGGTAAGAAATTTTGGCCTTGAGAGTTTGGGGGTTTAAGTTTAGAGCAGATTTTTGGATTTTAACTGATTTTATATTGCTTCATTACTATTCGTAAGTTTCCAAGAATCATAAAGCTCTAAGAACATTTTAAGAACTGAATGCCTGAGCGGCAGTGCTGATTGTATGTGTACGAGGAATAGCCTAAGTAAAGATCAGTAGTAAGGTGGTTGAGTGACAATAATCGTTAACTTAGTAGTTAAATATCATCCCTTTTAGAGCCACATGTTCGATTCCCATCAAACCTAACCTATTTTACATTTATATCCACAAACTGTAATTAAACAAAGAATCTACGTTGCAAACTTTTTAAGTAATTCACAGACTCACAACCTGAAAGACACTGATTAATTCAATGAGATAACAGCGCCTTAAAATAGATTTGTTTATAAAGTCCGCACAGAAATTTTACTTTAATGTAATTTTGTTTAATCCACACCGATACACAAATCCACCAAAATACAATCCAAAATACGCACGAAGTGTATAAACAATAAATCTCATCAAAAGTCAATCACCCACTACATTATCATTCAATAAACAAATCCTCCAGATGTTTGTCTTAGACCTGACAATCGACAACTAACCCAGATGCTCGAAATAACTCAACAAAATTTTCATTTGTTTATAAACATCAATAAAAAAAATTATTATGTAAGAATCGTGATTTATTATGCGAAAATGTGTCATTGATAAAGGCATGAATGGAGAATGACAAATGTATTGATGCAGGCACGTAGCTAGAAGGGTCTTGTCCTTCTTTTTAAGCGTTTTAGGCCGTACTCTTGCTGCGGTTCAAAACGTTTAGGGGGGGGGGGGGGGGGCAATATCTTCCTGGCTACGTGCCTATATTGAAGGACATAAATCAAATTGTATAGGATCGCTAAACGAAGTCTCTCAAATTACGTTAGGCCCGAATGATGAGTAAGTCAAGCCAGACAAATTGACACAATCGACGGGAAACACGTACGTCTCTAAAGATAGCAGCTGTGAAAATCACAAAGAGCGCTGAAAAGTGAGGAAAAAAATATTTTTTTTTTTCATTTTCCTGTTCTGTCTTGAAAATTGAGCAGCCTGAGTGAGTTAGAAAGTGCAAAATGAAACCGAAAGCGAGGTAATTAATTGAAAATAAACAATAGAAATACGAGATTTGTTGTACATGCACAAACACAAAAGAGCGAATACGACACGACAAGTTTTTTTCTTCTTCCTTATTTTTTTTTATATTTTTTATGTCGCGGTGATTTTTTTCGAGAAAATTTATTTTCGGGAATTTTCTCGGTCGACAAAAATATTTGCTTAATGTTTTCATAAACCGGCGAGAGCAACCACATGTTTTATTTACTAGCTCGTTCGACATTCGTTTTAATATTAATAAAATCTTGATTTTTTACGGACATGATGGATGGAATGGAATCAATGTTGATTGGTAATATTAGGCATGATACTTGCTTCTAGCTCTACCAACCAAGGACATGATCAAGACTGCAATGTCGGGAGAATTTTGAGAATCCTTGTCAACACTCATTATAATGGATTAAGATATTGATTTCATAAAAGAGGGTTGCAAATACTTGTTGACTAGCAACTTGGTCTCCACAGGCATAACTCTCTCACTGGCAGATTCGTCTTTATAAAAATCAATAATTAAGATTGCATTTACTAAGATACCACCACTAATACCATTAGACCCCCCCCCCCCCCCCCCCACCCTCTTAAATCGTCTAATGAGACAGAAATAAACTTGATCCTGGTTACATAAATCATCGCTGAACCTTCAAAGCGAGCTCACAAATTACAATTGACCAACGAAAATGAAATGAGTAAGTATGCTTATAATGACAAAAAACAAAGCATGTCATAAAAACTTAAGAAAAAAAAACATAAATCATTTTACTACAGCAACCATTGATAATTTTTATTTTAATCATTCAAACTCAAATTTACATAAAGTCCAAGTTTAACAATTAAAATGTTCGATTAATTAGTAGATTAAGAGGAGATAATTAAGTTGAACTAGCAATTTAAGTGGAAATTAGTACAGTGCATAAGTGATTCTTCTAAAATGTACATAAATATTATTTTATTGGCAATCATCCAAACATCATCATCAGCAAACGATACAGCAAAACATCAGCAGACAGTTGAAGCTAATTTTCGATGCAAATCTGCAATTTAATTCACATTTTTCAACTGCAAATTTTTCAGTCATTTAGTGATTTTTTATACCAGCCATAATTAGGTGAGTCAATTAATAATTCAGTTTTAAAAAAAATCTGCTGAAGTGACAAATTAGCTTGATAAATTTGCTAATTTGCTAATTATTTATGAATAAATTTTGTATGATTATTAACGTTGGCTTATGTTCGTGATGAATTAGAACAAATTAATTTATGTGATCTTTTAGATTACTTTGTTGGCTAATGCCCTAGCAGAAATTTACTAGTAATTTCCTAGTACTTTACTGGATAACTTTCAATTTGCTACTTGCTATTTACTAGTCAAAATCCAGGTTCAAATCTTCGCCAAAGACCCGCATTTTCATTGAAAGTCACATACAAATTTGAATCGAGCTTATAAAGGTGATTTCTGCGCGCTCTTGTGAAGTATATGGCAAATGCCAAATTTAGAACAAAATTTTTTATGACGCAAAAAATTCTTTTTATGACGCAAATAATTCTATTCATGACGCAAAAAATTCTTTTTATGACGCAAAAATTCTTTTTATGACGCAAAAAATTCTTTTTATGACGCAAAAATTCTTTTTATGACGCAAAAATTCTTTTTATGACGCAAAAAATTCTTTTTATGACGCAAAAATTCTTTTTATGATGCAAAAATTCTTTTTTTGATGATTTTTCGTAAGATTCGAACTTAAGCAGATTTGATCAAACATTTCACATGGTAATTTGCTAGTAATTTGCAATTAAATAGCAAGTGTAATTTACTAACAGTAAGTTGTTTTAATAATAACTAGTAAATTGCAAGTTGTAGAATAGAAAGACTAGTAATTTGCTAGTTTATCTCGCTAGGGATGTTTAATTATAGTTGTGAATAAGTAGAATCAATGCAATTTATGACATTTAACATTCAGTACTTAAAATAACGGTTTTTAAGCGATTTTCATTAAGTTTCTTCCACAACTTAATTTTTACATTCCAAAAGTTCGAAATCCGTAAAAATATTTAAAACATCTTTTAAATAAGAGCAATCGTAATCCAACGACCAACTATATTTGACAGATTTCTGTGCCAAATCAATCGTTATTGTTTCATTATTAAAGCTTAACCTAACCGTCTTTAGAGTTTTAATGTCTTTTAAATGCATAAAAATTATAGATATGAATGATGGAAGTGGCATATCTTCAATACTACGATTATCTAAATTTTTAAAGCTTACATGCTCTAAACTCTTGAGACCAATTGTAAAATCTTTCCAATCATCTTTATTAAATCCGATTATTGTATCAGCTTTAAGACAAATTAAGTTTGGGAATGAAGCACTTTTAAGTTCATTCAGATCAAGCAATTTAACATCAATTGAACTCAAAAGGATGGTCAGGAATTGTCCATTAATAAGCTTTGCAATCCCTTCCACATTCAAGTCTAAGAACTTATGTCCAAAATTTTCTAGATTAACAGATAAATTGGAACTTCCAACAAAGGTTTTGAGATTTGGAAATTTATTTGCTAAATTAAGCAAGTTAATAGTTGTTCCATAGCTCTGTTTATAGTATTTCAAAGTAGGAAGCTCCCATTCAGGATGGTCACTGGACAAAAAATTGTAACTCTCACTGAAACTTAATGTTAATCTTCTCAGTTTTGCGAATTTCATGAAAATTGTATCAAAAATGTCTTCATTAAGATTAAGACCAAGATTCATTTCTTCAACTTCTGTTGCTTGAGCTTCAAGGAACCTTCCAAAATTCTTGTTATTTTTTAAATTTGAGCAAAAAGACATATGAATCTTTCTCAATTTGCATAAAGCAGTTTTCTTATAATCTCGATTTGGGAATGGAAATTTAATATATCCGTTAAATATTAGTTCCTTTAAATGCTTGAGCTCACAGAAAAAGTCAACAAAAATGACAAAAGTGTTATATCCATATTCAAAAGTCACAGACAATTTTACTAAATTTTCAACTCTGAGGGATTTAATAGATTCTCGAAATACATTAGTTATGGTTAAGCTCTGAAGTTTATTCAAGTTAATATAGGAATTGACTCTTATGTTTCTATATTCTTGATCTATAAACTCTTGATTATCTGATTCATCATCACTTAAAGTTAAAACAGATCCATCATCAGTTCCACTTTCCCAATCTGTTGCAGTTTCAACATAATAAAGGGAGCGTCGACTTTTTCTAAGATCATCTAAAGTTAAATCCTCAACATTTGGGGTATAATTTAAGGATGGTAAAAAAAATTTTCTATCCTCTTTAAAACAAGCTAAGACCAATCGTCTGATGAACTTTCCACGATATTTCAGAAACTTTTCATCGTCACCACAATTTAATTTATAAACAATATTTCTCATTATATCTGGTGACTTGTACATGCAGATATAAATTTCCTTAGAGAGACAAAAGCTATTGAACAGATCTTCCTTGTCATTTAAATACGATATGATTTTTAAAATGATTTCTATTGGAAATGTGAATGATGTTGCATCGTCCTGTAGATTTGTAAAATATAATTAAATAATATTGAAACTATTATAATGATCCTACCTCTTGAGTTGTTTCTGGAGAATGTTCATCCGTATTTGGTTGAACATCTTCCTTTATGTTGCTGAATTCTTGAGCTTCATCGCTTTTGTTTTGTTCGTCTTGATTTTCATCTGAAAATTTGATTCTTTTGCTGTTTTCTAAAACCAATACCTTTGACTCATTCATTTTAATTAATTAAAACTTTAAATTTACTTAAAGTTGTAGTTTGAAAAATCAACTTATTGAGTGGTTTTTATTGATGACAAAATTGATGAGCTTTTGTGAAAAATATATAAACTATTTCACCATAAATAGCAAGAATTGATGAATAGATTTCCAATTGGAAAACTGTACTGATTCAAATGATTTAAAAGTCGTTATGAACTGATAAGATTGATTAATATGAAAACGGGAAATCATCGGTTTTAAAAGATCTGATTAGAAAGTTGCATCAAAAAATTTAAATTAATTGAAATTCTTTGAAAATCAAATAATTTTGCTGACTTTTGTAGATTTTTTGAATAAAACTATCAAGATTGAAAGGATTAATAGTTAACGATATCTTTTTGAAAGTAAAATATATTCACAAATATTGAAAACTTTGTATTAATATGAGCCCATATATAATGAGAATCTTCCATGGATGATACATATGTATCATCGGAAGATGATGTCCTATGAAATTGGAAGATAAATGTACAATGCAATAAGATATAAATGTAATACATCAAAGGAATACAAATGGAAAACAAATGGATTACTTTTTTTGGATAAAATACGTGCTAAATTCCACGTGTTCTTTTGTATTTTTCTTTTATTTGTGTAAATTATTGTAAAAGTATTAGTGTGTACTTAATTAAAGTACACTAACACTACGAAAAAGAACAAAAGGACTTAATTTAATTAAGTCACATACTGATGAACGCCCAAGACTCGCAGACAAACCTGAGAAAGATAAATAATTAATAGAAATACCCATACAAATTTAGAGAGAACTTATAATAGTGATTTCTGCGAGCACTTGTGAAGTATATGACAAATGCCAAATTTAAAACAAATATTATCTTCCTGCAAAAAATATTTTTTTGATGATTTTTCGTAGGATTTGAACCTAAGCGGGCTCGGGTTATACTTTTATGGAACACTTTTGTTACATATTTGTAAAACAAACATTTTACATTTAATAAATAATCATACATTTGATCTTCCATCGACGTTGAACGAAGATTATATGGAACATTTTGGTTACTTGGGAGAGGTCTAAAGTTAAAATTTTTCGCATTCTGCAAATTGTCTCAAAATTTTTATAAAACGATCAGCTAATTTAGGGCCGTTTTCACTAAAGTGGATAATCCTCGTTTTCGGATCATCCACCCCAAGTTTTGGGATTATCCTGGGATAATCTTCGGATGATGGTTTTCACTAAAAAAGATTGAGGATAATCCTTAATATGAATATAGGAAGTGATCAAGATAGTGACATTGACATGATTAATGATATTAGAGCTCCAAAAGAAAGAAGATTTCGCGAACGTGTAGATTTCACGGAAACTGTCGCACATTTATTCTTAAAATAGTTTTGGACATACCATTTCGTGATGTAATCCTTTAGATCCAACAGCAAATATTAAAACAACTTGAATTAATCTTGAAATTCTCTTCAATTTTATTTTGGAGTCAAAATCTTTCTTCTTTTCTCCTTCTTTCTTAGCGAACCTTTGCAGGATTATTACACCTAATTTATTTTATTTAAAAAGTTACAAAATGTTTAATTCAATTATTATTTTTCTTACTTTTAGTCCTCTTTTGTGCTACACGTTCTTCTTTTTTTTTTTTGATTAAATTCTTTTTTAGGGGTAGGAAAAAACTCCCAGTAAATTTCGAAAATTGATATGAATTTAAAAAGAACGTTTAATATTTCAAAATTAAGAAAAATGATGAAACTAATGAATTTGTATATGTTAAATAAAGAAAAATATGTATTTTTCTTTACACTCGCCACCACAAAAAAAAAGTGATGATTCTCAACTTAAATTCTAATGCATAATTCAAATAATTAAATTTTTCATTTCATGTGCTTCAATTTTTTGGAACAAAAACAATATTATGAGTTAACGGATCTACATTTGCTGGAACACTAATGCTGACATTACGACCGAATTGATTATGCTGTTGTTGTTGATAATTATTTCGTTGAATGAAGAAATTACGACGATGATTTCCGAAGTTTTCGCGATGATTATTTAGTCCTTGACGTAAATCTTGTCTACGATTATTGTTTGGGTAATTATGTCTACGATTATTGTTTGGGTAATTATGTCTACGATTAGCAATTCCTCTTCGTCCTGACCTATTATTGTTATGATGTACTGTATTCTGTCTAAATTGCACTATGGGATTAGCTTGGTGACCAACTTGTCTTGCTCTTACATTGTTCTGTGTGATAATTCGATTCATACGAATAGCTTCTTCATCAATATATTCAACGTACGCTGTTGATTTGCTATAATTAGCCATAACTTGATTTAATCTTAATAAATCAATTGCAAGAACTGCATCTGTTCCTTGCTTAAAACATATGTACGTTTTGTCACGATTACACACTATGTAGTGTATAGGATGTTTGACGACGTCAATAAGCAGCAATACATCAATGATGGTACGGTTCAATCCAGTTGAGAATTGTATAACTTTCTCGTGAAATTCATCCGAATTTGTCATTAGTTTGACCTTATAAATGGAGTTGTTGAATGGAGGTGTAACAAAAAGCGCATTACTTTTGCAAATTTCGATTGTCTTGTAGTTTTCATCAGCTGATGGTTTCGCAATTGCATTCAATTGTGCAGTAAAGTTTGCGTCACGAGAATACAGATGTAAATGATATCGAGTTGTTGCTAATTCTTCAATAAAAATCCCGTTGATATCCTTAAAATTGGACTTAGTAAACTTCAGCTGCTTTCCGAGATCCACAATCACATCCTTAATATTCTTCTTAGGATGAATGCTGATGAACTTTATTAACTGCTTGCTTGAAGTCTGAAAAATATTTAAATAATAATTTTAATTGATCTATGTCAATAAAATGTGTCATGTGCACATTATTAATTATTTTTTTTTTTTAAATTTCTTGTTGAAAATGTTGGGGCTTTTTCTTTGATTTTTAATTTGTTTAACTTGTCATTTCTTGACTCACTTGACTTTTAATTAAGTCAGTAATTATCGCTCATACGATAATGATTTTTATTTTTTTTTTTTTTTAAATGTCGCTCGCGTTCATGGTGGAGAACATAATGCGACGACCATAAATGGTCTATTTTAGTTTGTGGCCATCCAGACTAAAAGAAAATGTTTTGTTTTTTGTATCAAATTTATACTGGTACCAGTTCAACGAATTAAATTTTATATTTACTTTATGCCCAACTTAACGTATTTTTCAGATTTAAATTTCAATGTATTTTTCAGATTCAATTGTTGTGACTGTAGTAGTGCAAGTTATTATTTTGATGAATATATTTTTAACGTTAAAGCATAAATTTTGAATTGTTTTAAAGTCGTTAAATTTCTGAATGTCGTTCAAATGTGTATCCAGCACTTTTAATCTATTATTTTTTACTAATATGTTAATATTGAATTATTTTAACTAATATTTTCTCTTTTATACATAGCAAATAACTTAAATTAATGTTTTGATGTCGGATATTCTAATTATTTTTTAAATATCTAAATTGATTCTAGCTACTGCTGTTGCAGGTCTAGTAATTATTGTCACGTTCTCATTCAAATAGTCATTCATCAATTTCTGTGATGACATATTTGATGATTTTGGAATGATTTTATTTCTGCCTAATCTGACAGTTACTTTTCTGACTTGATTCTGACTTCCTAAAATCGTACTTTCTATAACTCCAAGACGCCATGAATTTGCAACTGACGGATCAACTGTTAAGACAATATCACCTACTTTTAATGGTTCAGTAAAGTCTGTCCATTTCTCTCTATGCAATAAATTAGGAAGATAACACTTTAACCATTTATTCCAAAGCCAGTTGCTGACCATCTTTAAATCTTCCCAGTTTTGAGTGAGTGTCTTTAATTCATCTAGAGAAGGAGGAACAGCTTGAGCATTAGGTCTGCCCATAATAAAGTGATTTGGTGTTAAGTAATCAGATTCACCATCCTCAATTGGTAAAATTTCAATTGGCCGACTGTTAAGGAGATTAACAATTTCATATAATATTGTCTTTAAGCCATAATCATCATAATGTGTATGCTTTCGTGTGGAGAATTTTGTGATTTGTCTAAGCGCATTTTTAACTAGTCCTACCATCCGTTCGACGGCTCCGTTCATGTGAGGAGCGCGTGGAGGAGAAAACTCCCATTGAATTGGATCCCACAACTTTCCCTCTTTTAGCATATTACGATTCCATTCATCGTAATGTAATTGGAGGATTTTTTGGCCACCTGTAAAGTTGGTGCCATTATCGGAACATATTCGTTTTGGGACACCTCTAAGATTAAAACAATTTTGAAGTGCACGAAGCGTAGCTTGTGCTTCAAGACTTTCTATTAGTTCAAGATGCAATGCTCGTGTTGTTAGACATGAATAAACTAAAACATATCGCTTAGCTGTGCCATATTTTGTAGTTTTGACAGTAATTGGACCTAGTAAATCAACCATAACATAACTAAATACAGGATTATGAATAGCTAAACGATAATTAGGTACATTGCCCATAATAGGTGCGATGGATTTAGATTTTGATATACGACAAATCAAGCATTCTTTTCGAACTGTATTATTTACTGTTCGTCTAATCTTATTAATGTAGTATTTTTGCAGTAAGTTTAGAACAACAATTTTCTCATTATGATGAGAACAAGCTTTATGAAATTTTAATATGATTAATGAGGTAATTTTATGCAGTCTTGGCAGAATTATCGGATTGATCTTGTCCTTTCCGAACTTTAAAAGATTTTCTGGGGTGTCATTTATACGAGTTCTTACTCTCATTAGACCTTCTTCGTCGATATAAGGCAACAATTTTTTTATAGTACTGGATTTTGGCAATTCTTTCTTTTCGATTATCAGCTTGTATTCTTTTTGGTATGATTCTTTTTGCGCAATTATTATTATCGCATTTTCGATTTGTTGATATTTAAAATCTTTTTGCTGCATTAATTTTCTAT